AGCAGAAAAAACCATTGTCATATTCGGAATCAGCATAGTCGATAACCTATTCTCCACTAGGTTTCAAGAAAAAAGCGAGCGGACACTTGGGGCAGTTCCCTCGTAAGTTTTAATATGTTATTATCCTATCTACTCTCATCAAGTAATTCGAAGGTAGATTGAAAAGCTTAAGTAGCGCCTCTCGAACCAATGCTTTACTCCTCGACCTGCTTTTGAAATGCCTGCTTTTGGAATTTCTCCTTTGAATTTCGACAGATTTTGACAAAAGCAAGAATCCATTTGGAATTTCTGCTTTTTGCAGGAATATTTGTGGAATTTTGACAAATGAATTTGGGTTAGACCTTCAACGACCTCTAGTGATCCGTGTTTATGGCATACATTGTTGTCGAGAGAATTTCGACAGAATTCTCTACTTTGATCAAGATGGAAAAAAAGACTGATGCAACTGTATTTATAAAGTTGTTGTGAAACAAGAGAAATTGTTTCTATGTTTATGTATGTTCAGTGGCCAAAAATAAAAATTGTAGAAAATTTAAAATAAATGTTTTGTTATTATAGGACGACACTTTCTATAATAGTTTTTGTTGAATAAATGTCGAATTTTCCATGGAATTTCTAAATTCTCACAAATTCCAAAAGCATATTGACGAGTTTACCATAGCAATGACTGACTGATAACTAAAAGTAACAGAAGAAACGTTGGCTAGAAGGAGAACAAAAAATTGGGGGAGAAATCTTATTCCTTCATTCAATGATTAGGAGAACGATTTTCTTAATGCTCTTGTTGAATATAATGTAATATACAGGTGAACGAATTCTCTGCTTTTATTTTCCTCGTTAATCGAATAATGACGCCTGATGTTTGCGAAATCAAGTAAAGGTTACTCAAGGCTAACCTCAAATGAACCTTCATCAATTACTCACTATTATCAAAAACCATTCATGACATATTTCATTTTTTTTTCTTTTTCTGGCCAGCTGTGGTAGATATAAACAGAAAACACTGTAAAAACAGTTAGAAAATAGAAATACACCACCGTTCACTATCACCAACAGCAAAACGTATGTATGTTTTTTATTATTGTAACTACTTTTTAATTTAGCATTGTTTTTTATGTTAACCCTCTAAAAAGGATTTTTCATATCATCCATGAAAACAAAACGGTTTCCGAGACGACCAAAAGAGTATTTCTTCTAGGATTCTCTTTATGGTTAGAGAGTACTTGAAATTCAAGCCAACTTCAAAAGAGGTAATTATCCTTCTATTATATGTAGAGTGGAAAAGTTTTTTGTATATTAAAATCATCGTTAAATAAATTAAAGTAATCTAATTTATCCTTCTGCTTTATTCCGGTTAAAAAGCATGTTGGAAAAGAATGAAAACTTTATTTTTTCTCTTTTTAAGGCGTATTTATACGTTGATTTGAGTTCCAATCTAACCCCACTTAAAAAGTTCATTTCAGCTTATAAACATTTAAAAGTGTAATAAGTCCTTCGTATTCTAATTTGAATCTTAAGTCAGTCCTCCTCTGAGTTCAATCCAACCCATGGAGTTGACTTCAACCGCAAGTTGAAAAATCAAAAAGCAGGGAAAATAATTTTTGTTTATTTAAAAATATCGGTGCAAGCGAAAGAAAAATCAAAAAATTAAATATCCGCTTTTTATTTGACCTTTAATGTTAACTGGAATTTTATGTCAGTTGAGATGAATTTCAAATAGACAACGTAATGTTTTTCTATGCATTGTCTTGAGTTTCAAGTGGAGGTTGACTTGCATTACGATGTGCCTAGATCTCGCTGACTCTTGATATCCGAGCGGTTTTGATATAACCTTATGTAGTACATTGTGTGTTTGAAAGATAGGCTGAAATGCTTTTTAGCTCTTTCGATTTTTTGTTCGGCTCCGATTTTTAAGCCAACTGAGTGAGATTCTAGAAGGCTTTACTCATAAGTCTCTTCTTCTTCGCTTTTATTTTCGTTTCTCGCGCTCTCTTATTTTGTTTTCTTACTTCAATTCATGCACTTTTCTCCTGCTCTCTTTTTTGAAATAAGAAACACAATAAAAGTCGATCACTAGTTTTTTCTATTGGAATTACTTGAATCCAGGGCTGAGCAAGTCAGGACTTTTTCAAGTATCAAGTCAAGTCAAATCAACGAAAAGATTCTCGAAGTCAGAAGATCCTAAAAATTGTTATCACTTAACTTGGACTTAAGACACTTTTGACTTGACTTACTCAGCTCTGTTATCATCAACATATCATCACCCTCACCTGATTAGAATCTGTATATTTTAAAACATGTGTCTGCAGTTCAGCTACAGTAAAGGAATGTGCAAAAAGAAGTTCACTAGGCGTCCGCCGCCACCTTAGGCGTGATTGTACAGAACGGATGAGTCAATTTTAAGTTTTTGAAGGGAAAATACATCGGATTTGGACTTTCTTCGCCACCTCCACCGGTGAGAAAGTCTGCTGGGGGCAAAGTTCGGCTGCGGTAAAGTGGATTCATACCGTTATCCGAATAACTCAAACATAAAAAACAACAGTTACCTCTTATCCGCGTTCTTTTTTTGTTTTGCTTTAGTCATCTGTGAATATGTCGTCAACAAATACTACAATTGTTGCATTGATTACTGGTGGTAACAGAGGAATTGGATTTGAAATTGCTCGCCAACTTGGTCAACAGGGAATTGAAATCTTAATCGGTTCACGTAATGAAACACGTGGCAAAGATGCAGTAGAAAAGTTAATCAATGATCATGGTGTTAAAGCAGCAGCTTGTGTTCAGCTTGACATGCAAGACCAGGAGTCGATTGATCGGGCAGTTGAAACAGTTAGCCGAACTTACAATAAATTAGATATACTAGTTAATAATGGTGGCATCTATTTGGATGAACCACCACCAAGTGCACTAGATATTGACATGCTACGACATACATTCGATACAAATTTTTTTGGCGTCTTCCGCGTTACAAAAGCCTTTTTACCATTAATTAAACGATCATTAAACGGCGGTCGAATTGTCAATGTTTCATCTGCGCTCGGCTCATTTCGATCTCATGAACTTAACCAACAAAATTTCCATCTTGCATACAGTGCATCGAAAGCATCGTTAAACATGTTAACTGTACAATTTGCTAAAGAATTAAAACAAACCAATATTAAAGTAAATTCATACGCACCTGGTTTTACAGCAACCGAGATGACCAATTATGAGGGCCATTCAGTTGAAATTGGCGCAAGATCAGCTGTTACTTTGGCTACTCTCCCCAATGATGGACCAACTGGCAGATTTTTTGCACATGATCTATCGGAACGAGGCTGGTAAAAAGCAATAGAAACGAAAAAAACTAATTTTTAAACATAATCTTTGATCATTAGCTACGACATTCATCCATTTCCATTTATTTATTTATTTAGTAAAGTTGAGTTCACATTCAGATAGAAAAGAGAAAACAAACTGAACAAGCATTGCGACAAAAGCGACGTAAATTAATACATCTCTTGTTAAGGTGTCCAACCTATATGAATTAATGTATACAATATGTATAAAAATAAAGGATGAAAAATAAGACAGTAAATACATAGACAGGCAGTCGGCACTATAAGTGCTGTTCTAAGTTAATGGCAAAAAGTTTTACTGTGGGTGACACAACTACAGAATTAGGAAGACTGTTCCACTCCTTTACTATCCTAACTAAAAACGTTTCCTTGAGAACATCCTTTTTACTTTCGGGTACTGGAAACATAAGTGAATTTCCTTTTCGCAGTGTATGCCGATCAGTCATCGGCTGGAGTAGACGAAATCGTGCAAAAGCCGTCCTTCCTTTCATAACTTTCCAGAAGTATTTCAGTTTGATGCTAACTGGATCTGACAACATGTTGTTTACTCTCACTTGCTGTGTACGATTTGCAAGATAAGGTTCAAACCACAACCATAAATTTCCTGTAACTTCAGCGTTTTTCAACTTATTCAAAAGAATTTTATGATTTACTCGATCAAACGCTTTTTTCATGTCTAAAGAAACTCCTACTGCTTTAATGTTATTGTCCATCAGCGAACTAATATGTTGCGTGAGATATGTAAACGCGTCTACCGTTGCGGATTTCGGTCGAAAACCAAATTGATTGTCGTTAAAAAAAGAGTTTATGTTTAAATGTGAAGAAAAAAACAAAGAAACTAATCGTTCCAATACTTTGCTTATATTTGAAAGCAAGGAAATTGGACGATAGTTTTCGACAGATGATCCATCTCTTTTTTGGTAAATAGGCGTAATGATGGCATTACCCCATTTACGTGGAAATTCCCCAACAAGACTGATTGACTAAAAAGATGTTGAAGTTGTGTAGAGACAAAACTTCGGCAATACCTTTGAGAAATTCTAGAGAAATATTATCAGAGTTGATAGACTTTGTTTTATTTAATTTCATGATCGCTGAAAATATTTCTGGTACCATAAACTCCAAACCGTCTAGTGCAGGTAGAGCACGGTTGGTGGGTAACAATGAGCCGTCCACTTTTAAAAATGAGTTTACAAAATGCTTGCTGAACAGCTCACTCTTTGCTTTCTCGTCACTAGTTATTGAATTTTTGTGTATTACTGTAGCTGGAAGATTAGTAAGGAAGATTATTACCTTCCTTACTATACTTTTCATTTCAAGCCAAAAGTTAAGCGGATCTTTAACTTGTCTCGTGACGGATTCTAATTTATTTTTCTTAATTCGGCGAAACTCACTGATGACTTTATTTCGGAAAAATTTAAATTTAAGTTTTGTGTTTCTTCCGGTTAGGTTACGTTTTAACTCACTAAATGCAGCGTTTCGCTTCTTCATGTTATTCCATATAATTGTACTTTTGAATCAGTCTCAAACCAAGTCTTCAAATCTTGTTTTGCTGCAGTATTCGTAAAATTTCGCATACTGCGATCGTAGCTTATAACTATGTTTATGTAAAAATTGATCGTTTGAAAGTTGGATATGCTAATGCATCCGCTTACAG